GCCAAAAGGAAGCTCACCCTGCCCAAAAACAACACTCCCCCCCCCCCCCCCCCAATCCTCCCAAAAGAGAAAGACGACCACCACCCCACACCTGCGTTATCATTTAACAGATGTGCCGCCTCAGCCAAGCTCCTCACCTGACTCGCACAAATTAGTTGCCAAACAAGGCAATCATAAATCAACAACTCGCAGTGGGAATCTCGTTGTTCCATTCATGCGCGTCACTAATTAGATGGCCCAATGGCCAGTCACCCCTCCCCGCCCCCCAAAGGCACGCCAAGGCGCCCATGAGCTGCACGCACTCCACCGCCAAGCGCCGCACCAGGGGCTCCGCGTGGATGAGGCGCTTGGCGATCTCCGCGCCTGGGCTGGCGTTGGAACGGGTGAGACACGCCAGCCAGGCGCCAGGCGCGTGGCCGGCGCGTGGTTTTTCTAGGGGTTGATTCCGTTTCAATGATTTTCAACCATCGTTCTTTCCAAAAATATGCCGTTTTCCCTGGGTCTCCGGAGGTTTTCTAGAAAGCAGGATCCCTGGAAAGAATGGGGAAGGTACCCCTAGAGTGTTGGGCTGTTTTGCCCAAGGATTCGAGGTGTCAAATCTCAATGCACGGGGCACAAACAAATCGAACGCCTGCACCACCGTTCAGAAGCCCTGGAAGTATGATGATTCCCCAGCGTAAATACCAAGAAACCATGGTTTCAACCAGGCTTCAAAGTGGTGCGAAATGGATTTCGGCTGGTGATACCTGGTGATACCTGGTGATACCCGGTGATACCTGATGATACCCGGTGATACCTGATGATACCTGGTGATACCTGATGATACCTGCTCTCTTTTCAAATGAGATTCCCTTAATGGTGGTGTTCCCCTGCTCGTTTCCCTTTAAAACCACCAAACATGGGGGGCGGGTGGGGGAGTACCACCTGTCCCACATTCTACTATAATTATAATTGGCCGCAGATCGAAACAAAATCCAGTCAGCTGTCTACACAAAGGGGATTCCATGGAATGGGTTAGACTGCCTGTCAATCCTGGAATCCAATGTCCCTCTTGGAAATCCGTACTAAAAGGGATTGCATCGTCTCTATCCTAAGAAGAAGCGTGGCATGCCATTTTCGCGGCAGGACAGTGGCCTCAAAAACCCGTTTGACAAAGTTGCTGCAAATAGGGACCTTCTCCTAAAATGTTCCCGGTTTCCATTCAAACCAGACAGGGGATCTACTTTAAGGCACATAATGCTGGAATCAGACTCCATTCCAGCCCAAAACTTCCTAATTCAAATTGGCCACAGATCGAAACAAGATCCAGTCAGCTGTCTACACAAAGGGGATTCCCTGGAATGGGTTAGACTCCCCGTGAAATCTCGGAATCCAATGTCCCTCTTGGAATCCGTACCAAAAGGGATTGCATTGTCTCTATCCTAAGAAGAAGCGTGGCATGCCATTTTCGCGGCAGGACAGTGGCCCCAAAAACCCGTTTGGGAAAGTTGCTCCAAATAGGGACCTTCTCCTAAAATGTTCCCGGTTTCCATTCAAACCAAACAGGGGATCTTCAGGAACACAATTCTAGGGGACACTTCCCCATTTTTTCCGGGGATCCTTCTTTTGAGAAAACCATCAGAATCCCAGGGGAAACTGCTGGTTTTTGAAAAAGAACGATGATTGAAAAGAATGGGGAATCAACCCCTAGAAAAATGCTGGAATCCGACTCCATTCCAGCCCAAAACTTCCGGCCAGCCTAAAGAGAGATCTCTTTAGGCTGGCCAACGCGGGGCCCTCGGCTCGCCTTTTTCCTCCCAATCCCCGTTCAGAATGGGGGACCGAGATGGGTTCGTGGAAATTGGCCTCTGAAAATTAATCTGTTGTCTGCTTGCCAACTCAACAGGTAAGTGTTAATTTGAAACCAACAGGAGTTGTCCAACCAAAAGCAGAGCAAGCACGCAACAAGGCCTCAAAACCGGCGACGTGCTTTTAACCCTTCCTTCCTCCCCTCTAATACAAGCCAACACACAACCAGCACCATTTCTTGGGAAACCAAACCAATCAGCATCAACTTCGGCCCCGTCGACTTCCATCCATTTCCTTGACCGACCAAAATCGGACCTCCGTTTCGGCCAACACCGTTCCACAACCGACCCTCCTTGCGAGCCCCAAGTCTTGAAAATCTCCGTCCGTCCGTCCGCGACTTCACTCTCCGTCCTTGCGGACCGCGACTTCCCTCGACTGACTCGAATGACTCCGATCCGCGACTTCGCTCCTTCGCTCGACGTCTGACTCGACTTCACTGGAATGACTCGGACTAAGAACCCCACTTCTCGCTCTCCCTCGACGTCCGCGACTTCACTCGACCTACTCGACTGACTCCGAGCTCCGAGATCTCTGTCCGAGCGGCTGGCGGGCAGAGCGTGCTCCTTGAGATCCACAAAGGCCTCCATGGCGGCGCGCCGCACCTTGAAGTCCGGCGCCTCCATCTCCCCTCGGCCGCTTTTTCTCCGACGAGGACGTCGCCGAGGCGCGCGCGCGCGCGCAACCGAACGGAGATCGGATGGGGGGAGGAGTGGTTGGGGGGAGGGCGGGAAGGTACGCTATGGGGGATCGGAGGGGATGGGATGGCGTATGGTGTGAGGCGGCTTGGCTTTGCACTTGGCTTGGGAGAAGCAAACCAACAGGAAAACAAGAACAACTGGTGGGGGGGGAATGGATCGCCACACATAGACAAAACAATGTTGGGGTCAGAAACGCCACCCAAAGCCGACAAATCCGTCTATTAACAACCAAAAGGGGCACCCTCCAAAAATTGATTCCAATTTAGTTCGCTGCACATGAATTCGTTGCGCAACTACGCAAACGCCTCACTTTCCTGGCAGTGTCCGTCCCCCGATGTCTTGCCCTTGGGTTCTCCCCAACTTCAGGCTCAGTTTGAAGCGCCTGAAGTTGTTTTCGGGATTGGGAGGCCCCCTACCGGTGGCCACGGGGAAAAAGGTACTCTCCTTTTTGGTCGCTGATTTTAAAAGGAAACCCCAGCCAACAAGAAAAAAGTTGAAGCAAGGCTTGGGGCAGAATCCAACAGTCTCAGCCTGTGGCTTGCCAAGCTCTAGAAGCTGAAACGCCGCGCTAGAAAACTCCCACCCCTCCAAAGAAGAGACATGATTTGGAGTGTATGTTGGACCCCGGTTGTTGGGTGGGCTTCCCTTTGAAGCAACAGACACCAAAAGTGTGTCCTTTCCCCTCGGCAACCTCGAACAAAGGGTAGCCCAAGGGAAGAACGACTAACTAGACAACTTGCTGGTGCTCAGTAGATAATGTGGGAATGAACCCAGGGTCCCCTAAAAGAAAACCGCCAGTTATGGTTTAAACCAGGGGTCATTTCGAGTCATTCCCTGCCTATCGCGCCGATCACAAGATTGAGAGGCCGCTTTTGTTTCTTTATTGAAAGGTGTCCTGCAGGCCCCTAACAGAAAAAATTAACCAACTGAACTAATAAACAGTACTAATAACATACATAAAAGAAAAGGAGAGACAAAAAAGAACAAACATAAAAAAGATAATAACAAAAATGGGAGGAAACCAGAGAAAAAAAAATGAAAAAAACAAAAACACCGACGAGTCAGTGGGACCACATTGTCCTTCTTCGGACTCCTCAAGAGCTGCTCCGTCAAACTCCGTTTTGTCTGCGCCGAGTCGCTCGCCATGTGCTCCAGGAACTTCTTGGCCTTTGACGCGCCCCCCGACTGAGTCAAAACCCGGGTAGACGAAGTTGCTTTCTGCTCCCCTGCTAAAAGTTTTTTAACTTTTGGCGGTTTAATGGAAAACCCATGAGTTGGCAAAAAGTTAAAGTCCTAACATCCATTCAAAATGCACCAAAGGTTAGCAAGGGCCGATCCCAACCAGAAACAGCTGCGGCCGCCTTCTGAGTTCTCTGCATGGCTCTGGGTCGCCATTTATGTACCGGGCTTTGATTGTGACTCTGCTGATGAACTAAATCCACGCGGATCTGCACCAGAGGATATGCGGGTTGTCCCCATCATTCATGGTCCGGCAAAATGAAATCGAGGGAGCCCTGTATGAACCATCTCTTGTAGCTTCCCAATCCTCAACAATTCACTCCACAAGACCCTTGAAAGTTTTCTGACAAGCAAGTCAAATTAATTGCATCTGAATGCGAGCGCACAACCCCCCTGGCCAGTTTAGTTCTTTAAGTGACTCTGCCTGGTTTCTTGGGGCTTATTGTAAAACCAACTTTTGGGTTGGCCAGCAAATTTCCAAGCTTGTGTTTATCACTGAACTGGTCTTGACCAAAGCAGAAAGTGTGTCGCTGGCACTGGGCGCGGTTGGGACTCAGCTCTACGGTTGTGGTTCTTTGTCGAAATGAGTCTTGGTTGTGTCTTCGCAAATGCATGCATGCTTCAGGGACAAGACAACCCTGGAAAACAAGGACCGTGTGTAAACGCGTGTGTCTTTTGTTGACGCATTAGCCTTTTCGGGATGGTGAACCGAGGGCTCGGTTCAACCTAGAGGCCTCAAGGAAAGGAAGCGCCCATCATTCTGACGTGCCCCGAAAAGATGTGCCATGGGAAGCTGTGGATCTGGGCACGGGACCGGACCGGACCCATCGCGGCCCGGATGCCGAGGTGCGTTGGCCTGGGCGCCGCCCAGAACCACCAGGACCTGGGGAGAGCGCGGTCCAGGTGGGTCGCAAGGAATTCACAAAAACTTGGCCGAGGGGGACACAAAATCGAGACATGTTCTGCTGGTGTCATATTTTGTCGACCCTGACATACACACATAGCTTAGGAGATCCCAGAACATGGGAGGGGATCCCTTGAACCACTAAAACTGAAAGGAAAACCACACCTGGCACAGGCATTTAGCATAGGATGTGACCAACCCAGACTTATGGCTAAAACTGACCGCCTTTTTGGTGGAGGGGACCCACATGAAATAATGCTCCTGTCCTTGGAAGACCAGGGTCGTGTTCCAACCTCTTCACATCAAAGGAAACCTGCCGGGCAAAAGGCGATGCTTCCTGCAAAGGTTCGACCCTCGCCCCTGCAGCAAGTGAGCACTTGCAGCTGCTTGCGTGGGGCTGTGGGTCAAAACCAATGGTACCATTTTGGGGTAGGCGGTGCACCACCCATTTTCGTCTATTTTAGTGGGGATTGGGATGTTCACTGGGGGTACGATTTGGATTTTGACCCATGGCCATGGAAAAAAACCAAGGAAACCCCAAAAGGGGAAAGCCATGAAGGTTGCCGCTACAGGACTAACCCAAGCCAAGAGACCAAGGACCTTTGCCGCATCGTCTCCGGCTGCAGGTCCTCAGAAAAGAGTCGAATGGCTTTGCGGGAAGTGTGACGGGTCAGCAGGGCGGAGCTAATTGCAGGGATCCTTACATTAACACCTGAACATTGCCTTGTAGATGGTGGTGTCCCTTTATTCTGGTGGAAAAAAGCCATGTTTCAAATGGGCAAAATGTATCTTTTAAGGAGCCCTGTAATTGGTTCGATCCTTTGTTGGACTTCTCTTTCACAGGGATGATGTCCAACAATTGCTGAGGATATTCCGCATGAAAACCTCAAAGCCATTCAGCTCACTTCGCTGTTCAATTTGGCATCATGTGATCATCATATGGCATCCACACCAACTAAGCGTTTCTTGGCTCTACATAGCGGTCATTCTCGGTGCTCTTCTGGGCCCGTGTACCTCACCAGACAGTTATGCGTACTGGGAACCTAAACAAAAAGTGAATCTTGGTGTGCCACGGAGCATCTGGGATGCATTGTTTTCCTTTACCAGCCGGTTCAACGGGTGTCCACATTCTACATGCACTTTCAGGCACCCGCAACTCCGGCTTTCCGGCAGCAACGTGAGTGAGTGAGTGAGTGAGCGAGCGAGCGAGCGAGTGAGTAAGTGAGGGAGTGAGTGAGTGAGTGAGTGAGTGAGTGAGTGAGTGAGCCAGTGAGTGAGTGAGCGAGCGAGCGAGGGAGTGAGTGGGTGGGTGGGTGTGGGTGGGTGGGTGGGTGAGTGAGTGAGCCAGCGAGCCAGCGAGCCAGCGAGTCAGCGAGCGAGTAAGTGAGTAAGTGAGTGAGTAAGTGAGTCAGTGAGTGAGCGAGCGAGCGAGCGAGTGAGTGAGTGAGTGAGTGAGTGAGTGAGCCAGTGAGTGAGTGAGTGAGCGAGCGAGTGAGCGAGCGAGTGAGCGAGTGAGAGAGCGAGTAGGCGAGCGAGTAATGAGCGAGTGAGCGAGCGAGTGAGCGAGTGAGAAAGCGAGTAGGCGAGCGAGTAATGAGTGAGTGAGCGAGCGAGCGAGCGAGTGAGTGAGCGAGCGAGTGAGTGAGTGAGTGAGTGAGTGAGTAAGCGAGTGAGTGAGTTGGTGAGTTAGTGAGCGAGGCAGTGCGAGCGAGGGAGCGAGTGAGCGAGTGAGTGAGTGAGTGAGCGAGTGAGTGCAGCGAGCGAGCAAGCGAGCGAGTGAGTGAGTGAGCGAGCGAGTGAGTGCAGCGAGCGAGCAAGCGAGCGAGTAATGAGTGAGCGAGCGAGTGAGTAAGCGAGCGAGTAGTGAGTGAGTGAGTGAGTGAGCGAGCGAGTAAGCGAGTGAGTGAGTGAGCAAGCGAGTGAGTTAGTGAGCGAGGCAGTGCGAGCGAGCGAGCGAGTGAGTGAGTGAGCCAGTGAGTGAGTGAGCGAGTAAGCGAGTGAGTGAGTGAGCAAGCGAGTGAGCGAGCGAGTGAGTGAGAGTGAGTAAGAGAGAGAGAGAGAGAGAGAGCGAGTGAGCGAGTGAGCGAGTGAGTGAGCGAGAGAGTGAGTGAGTGCGAGTAATGACGAACCTGCCGAGTGGGGAGAAACCAAAACAACCCCCCATTCGGTATGTCGAGCTCGATTCGAATTTTTGGACATCGAGGCGCTTACTCGTTACTTCAACCCGATCGGTCCCGCCTGCGCCTCTTCCCAAAGCACCTGGCCTGAGGTTGTCAGGGACCAGATAAACACCGCAAATACCATTGCAACCAACAAAAAGGTAGACAGTTCGGGGGGTATCATAGATGTCCATATCTGTATGACCTGGGGTTGGTAGTTATGGCTCCAAATGGTTGGTTTACAATGTCGACTCATCGGAAATGCCTTGCCTAGCGGGGTGCCGTGTATGAAACCAGCAAACACGGCTCAACTCCTGGGGCCATCTTTACCTTTTAAGTCAACCCCGAAGATTAGGAGAAAGGGAAACCGCCCTTTGAAGGTTAAGGCCAAAGGTTGGGTAGGTCAAAGTGTAGGGTAAAGGTTGAAGATGTTGAAGGAAGGAAATAGTCGACACATGTTGATTCCAGAAGTATCGGAGACTCCAGCTTCAGATGCTTCCTGGACAGGAAGATGAAGGAATGGCTTGTTTGATTGAAGAAACACGCCTTTTTTCTGTGCGGGGTGGTTCATTCAAGTCCGATTCATCTTGCTGGCTGGACCCAAAGATTGAGCCTGGCAGGACTAAAAAACCTCCGGGCCGAATCCGTGGGCTCGCCGGCCAAATCCTTGATGCTTGCCCCTATGTTTGGTCGGTTTGAGACTCCACCTCTTTGGAACACTTGCGGAACCAGAACGCGAGTCGAGTTGCCCACCCATACCTTGTCTTCCCAGACGAAATGAGTTGCTGCGACCCAAGCGTCCATAGATTTAGCCTTGTCCCCACCCTCAAAATTGGCAGGTCCCTCTGATATTCAATCACAACCCTTCAAAAGGCTTTCCCAAGCTGCACGCATTTGTCCACGAGGGTTCCAACTCGTCTCGCAAAAAATCGTGTTTGTTTCTGTACCGATGCATTTCCCAAACTGGTGCCTGCGCTGCCTTGGGCGCCTTCGAACAAACTCGGTCTCTGCACCTCCTTTTCTACCCTGCAGCGGACATCTTTGAGAGGGTTGGAGGACCCCTGACATTCATGCACCCTCTCTCGCATGTTGCAATCGGACAATGGGCAACTTTCCATCTGGCTCTCCGCTTCCATGCTTGTCGTGCGACATCGCATCCCCCCCCCGCCCCGCCCCCGCCCGCACACTGCATGCAAGGGGCCGATCGACCCCTGAGCTCGACACGACATGGGCGGGGTGGGTTTGCTGTGGGGCATGGCTTGGCTCTCCCCTCACCTAGCAAACCCCTGCCACACACACAGAAAGAAACCCCTTTTTCGGGGTAAAACCGTCCCCTTCCAGAAACCTGAGAAGTAGGGAAACTCCACCCGCACTGGAGGAAAAAACGCAAAAACCTGGAGCCTGGAAGGGAAGCCGTACCCCGCGCCAAGAATCTACGGCTTTGATCATCTGAGGCTGAGAGCGCAACCTGTCACGTGACCCTGCTAAGAGAACATGGGACAAGACACGTGCCACTCACGTTTTGCATGTAGAAAGAACACCTCCTCCAGCAGATATGTAAAAAAAGAAGAAGAAACAACGGAGACGCCCCCTGCTGGTTTCCCGCCAACTCCTGCATCCGAAGGAAACAACTCATGGGGACGGGCCAACAAAAGTCCAGGAGCTGCTTTTATGTACCGCCAGGAGGATCTTCCCAAAAAGTGAAAGTCCAGAACCTCTGGGGTAAGGATGTTCAACACGAAAAAACACATACAGTTCAGGTGCGTTCTTCGGGAAACCTGGGCAACCTGTCTGCAAGAAATGTACCCTGCAGGGTCAAAGAACAGGGACAAACAACCGCCCCAACCGCAAGACACAAGGCAAAAAAGGCAAACATGAAATCACCCCCCCCCCAGTCGGGGCGCAAAAAGCAAAATCCAAAAACCTAGAAATAGCCCCAACCGCCCCAAACCAGCAAATGAAGCCCATGGACGTCATTGGGGGAGGTAGCTTTGAGGTCCTGCAAAGGGTCTTTCCGGTTCCTCCAGCCTTAGAGCAGACCACAACTGAAGTTCAATTTGCGCCGGGGCCACGGTGTATTCCTTTGACGTAATGCTGACCTAAGACTAATCAAACCCCCTGGTTTTTGATTTGGGGGGCCATCGTGAATCATATCTTTTGTGCACCCCAGCTCAGTGACCCTGAAAAAAAGGGAACCCTTTTTGGGAAGACAATTTTTAGTGGGGCAGCCACCCAAAAAAAGGGGAAAAAGGGTGCCACTGAACAACTAAGCCACTAATCCGACTGGGTGAACTATCCGGGGTCAACATCAGCTAGCCTTGCGGATCCTTCAGGGGTTGCAAAAACACCATACTGGCCCTTGATTTATGACCTTCCAAACTGCTCCATCGTCAACCGAGGAGAAATCCTTGCTGGTGCTCAGTGGGGAATGTCCTTCCGTGTCTTGGGAATGAACCTAGGGATTCCCTCAAAGGAAACCATACTGAATACTGGGTTAGAGGGAATGAATTCATTCTATGTCTCATTCCCCCTATGCAACCAGCCCTTGAATCAGACAAAACCCATGCACATAGGTGTCCTTTTAGGGGAAATAGATGGCCCTGGTAGATGATTAAACCACCAGGTAAACCAGGAATCGAAACCCATCTATTTTTCCACCAAAACCACCAAAATGCCACCTGTGCCCATGCGTTTCGTAAACCGAGTGCCTTGAAAAAAGCTTCCTGCGCCGTGGCGCCGCGATGATGGGGTTATGGGGCGCCAGGCCCTTCAGCACCTCCACCGCGGCGCGGGAGACCATCACGTCTTTGCTCTCCATGCGCTTCCTCCGACCAAAACCCCGGGGCATTTCAGACGGGCTCAAAGCGAAACGTGGGCATCTTCCGTTTTTGGAACCTCTTGGGCAAAGAGAAAGAAGGAACGGGGCAAAATAATAATCCCACAATGTTGAGACACACTCAAACCAGAGACACGCGACGGGAGGGAAAACAATGGTAGAGGTGTTCATTTGGTGAATTGCACTGGGAATCATAGTTGCGTAATAGGGGGGTGTCCCCGCCACACAAACAAATGCTTGAGGGAAACGCGCGCTGCAAATCGGCGAGGTTTGTTTCGCCGAAGCGGTGAGAGGCCAACTGGCACGTCAGGTTGGTGGCCTATGTATAGGAGGAATGTCCGGACCAGTCAAGGGCCATGATTGCACAATGATCAAAGCCACCCTACCACCCCAAGACGCAGGTCAAAAGAATATACCTCGGACTTCTGACTGGTCCAAGTCCTGGGAACCAGCAAACACCTCAAGTGCATGTTCGATGAAAGAGTTGCTTGGAAGAGTGGAGGAGAAGGGACACTTTCGTCAGGGGATTGGGGTAGTATATACGCCTTAGATAAGGGATGTATTTCTCTTACACTCCCAAACAACTCGCCAATCGAAAATGCCCTTCGGCCTTGGCCAAGTTTGCATCCCCTGCAAAAAGTTCAGCTTCGTTGGTTGAATGAAGCAACATGAAACACATCAAAACGCAAAAACGTGAAAAGCGCAAAAGGGCAATGTCAATTTCGAAATACCAAGAAGAAGCATCATACTAATCAGGGGTGGCTCCCCTTGCGGGAACTTCATTCATACCGACGTGCCCATCACTTGAATCTAGCAGTGGATTAAAGGAAATGCAAACATGGACTAAAGCTTGTGGTATGCTGGTTGATTATTAATTTTGACCCATAGCCATGTTCACCAGAAACATCTTCGCTGGACAATGGGCCCAACGGACGCGCGCCTGAGGTATTTCAGGCCATTGCCGGACACCACCTCAGCCAGAGGGCAGAGAAGACGTGACAGGATGGTTCTTCTCCTAAACTAGCTGTTTCTTCTGGTGTTTGTGTTTTGCAGAAAGAAGGACCCGGAAAGAATCGGGCATTTACCCCACCAAATAAAGAACTCTGCTTCTTGCAAGCCCCGGCAACACGCACAGAACCAGAAAAAACAGCACGTGGAAAATAACAAACCAAAGAATGAAAGCACGTGCCAAGAACAGCAAGGAAAGCTAGGGTGCGCTTTGGCAGAGCAACCAGCTCAGTTAGTCTAGGGTTTCCTTTTTGACCATTTCCTTTGGCAGTAACCAAGGGCGGAGAGGGTCCGAGTTACCTTCCGCCCGAAAGAGTTGATGGCCACTAAGCTCTGGACACACTGCTAAAAATCAAACTGAGATCCGCAGTCCCAAAACTCCTCAAAACAGGATGCAATATATATATATATATATATGTCCAAAATGGAATCCCAGGAATTTGGTTTGGGGACTGCCTTGCAAGGGGCTTCTACAATCCCTACAAAGGGATTCTGACCGGTCAAGGTGTGAACACCGGGCGTCCGAGCCAAAACTGGGTGCCTTGGTGATTGTCCATGTTCAACATGAGCGCTTTCCTGCGGCCCTGCGGCCTTTTCTTTTGGGATATTGGGCGTGTCTTTTTGGAGGGTACCTACCCGTTTTGGTTGGGTTTTAACGGGAAGCCAGAGGGAAACCAACCAATTTTGGGGGGTCCCCAAGACAGGACCTCTCTGCAATGTGGCTCCCAGACTATTCTAAACCCGACCTAGTGGGTTGTTCCCCCTCCAGTGAATCCGAAGCCAGGGGTGGTTTATCCGGCGTTCTCATCAAAGCACCAAGGCGCGTGAGGGAGGGTGGGCTTGCCACAAAGACTTGGAAATGGGGGATGTGTCCAAATAGTGAACCCTGAAATGCTGCTTAAAGCCAAGCCTCAAGAAGCAAACTCCCAAATCAAAGGCTAGCATGGGCCAAAAAGGAATACCAAAGCGGTGAAACGGTGAAACGGTGCATTCGCTTTGGGCAAGCAAGCCAAAAGGCAAAAAGTGCTTCCCGGTCCCAAGCAGAAACATTCGGAAGTTTGGTGCCCAGTCCAGAGACCCGGATTGACCTTGTGGAGCTGTTTGCCACACCCTCTGTGCTGCTTTTTGTTTGTCTTGGTTCCAACAAGTCCCAAGCAAGCAAATCGGGCTCGGCTCAAATTCGGGTCCAACCCAAAAGATGTGCTTTTGGCCACGGCCAGAGCTTGTCTTTCAAGGAATCATCTGAAATCCCGGCAGGTTGATCACCATCCCCAGCCCCAAAGCATTGAACAAATAGCAAAGGCGCTTTGCGTACCTGATTTGGTTGAGATCATAATCAAATCAAATTAGGATGCCAGAGTGCTACCTTCATCCCAGGTGTCGCAAAGAAATACCACACTCCATGAGCCAGCTGCCCGCATCGCATCTCCCCTTTTTCCTCCTGGCCTCCGGCCCCGCGGCGATGAGGCACCGGATCGCGCAGGCGCGGATCTCCTTGAGCCCGGTGGGTTGAGCTCGAGATGGTGAAGCCTTTTTTGGGTGGGGTGTAAAGGGAAAACCAAAAAGTGGACCTGGTTTTTCTTGCTTGGGTTTTAGAGGCACACCAAATGGTGGCTGGCTTTTTTGGGTGGTGTTGATGGGGAAACCAACTCGTGGACACTTTGTGTTTGGCTTGGATTTAGAGGCACACCAAATGCTGGGCCCCTTTGCTCGGCATTTGCACTTGCAACAGGCCCCCCATCCCAACCAACTCCCGGACCCGTGCTTCAACTCGTCGTTTTTTCCTGGAGACAGGAGAAGCCGCCTCCAGAACACCCGAGCGGCTTCGGCTTCCGGGGTTAGGATCTGGCCGGGGCTATGAGGCTAGAGATGCAACCAGAAGCAGCCTAGATACCAAGGCTTCGTCCCCGGCTCCCATCTGATTGGCACAGGGGCTTCCGGTTCAGGGGGCAGAAGGAAATCCAAGACCGGCATCTCGGCGGGCTTCCAGCCCTCAAGTTCTAGCAGCTGCTTCCAGGCAGGGGTGAGGCCTTGAAGCCTTGTGGGATGGTTTTAATGGCGAAACCAAAAACTCGCCACTTGGGCTGCATTTGGAGAAAACGGGCCGTAACATCCTTCCCTTCCCTTGAAACCTACGAAAACGGAACCCTTGCCATTTGTTCTTCGCCCAACAAACACTCAAGCAAAGAACCACATGTTGCTGCTTTGTTCCGAAGCTTACGCCTTAAGCCTAATGAAACTCCTTCTAGGTATATACGAGTCAACTTCACCCCAGGTTGGAATCCCAGACTTCCACAGTTCCATCCCCAAAAACCCGCCTGAAACCCCCGAAAAAACCACCGCCCAGCGGTCGCGATCGCTTCTTCGATTTCGGCCCAGGCGCCACGTCGGGGTCCTCCATGCAAGGCACCAGGACCTTCATGTGGATCGCCACCTCCGCCCCCAGGTCCTCCTGCTTCCCCAGGTCGCCTAGGTGGGCAGCCAAAATTCCTTCCAGGGCTCCCGGGTTACTTCCCCTGAAACATCACTCCCAGGGACTCTCACCTTTCATGGGCCAAAAAGGTGACCAAGAAGGTGAGCTTCTAGTTGCCAAGGTTGGTCACCAGGGTTCCAAAGACAGGGCTCCCAAGAAATGTTCCCCTTAAAATACCGTGGATGGTTGCCACATCCGCTTCGCACCACTTGGAAACCATCGGAAGCCATTTCAGTGGTTCATCCTTCCACCGTTTCTTAGGTGGTGCGAAATGGATTTCGTCCATCCACAGTATTACTCCCACCAACAAACACTCACCTTTCAGGGGGCCCAAAAGCTAATGTTTCAAACCACCAACAAAGGGAATATATAAAAAAACACCCCGGTCCTTAATTCTTAGATTCTTGGTTTTACAGGCCTTGCACCTACCTCTTGCCTTTACATGGTTTGCCCTACCTACAATAGCACCTCTTCTGCAACCCCGACCCCTGCTCCTGCCGGCCGCTCAGTCACGAGCCAAGAGCCAGAAGTCGTTGCTTGCCATTTGGCTCCCCTTTAAACCAACCCAACAAGCGGGGGTTTGACAAACGGACGCGGGAGGTTTCTTGTTGCTCCCCCTCGTTTGCGCATCCAAAATCTGATCCCGGCCTCTCCTACCAGGTCCTTCGAAGTAATTAAGAACCTCAAAAGTACTCCCTAAATGTTGGCCAAAGGGAAAACACCCCCATGTCAGTAATTTTGAGAACCCCAAAAAATACTTGGCTGTCCTCCAATCCCCTGTAAACTTTTAGTGGCTTAAATTCGGAAACCCAACCGAACCGCCTGGAAAACATGGTTCACCACGTCCATTTGCTTTTTCGCCCCTGGAGAAAATGATAAAGTAGTTCCAGTAGCGACATCGATTCCCTCACAAAAAAAACAGGGGAATCATAAACCACATTCAGCAGATGGAAGACGATGCTCGCCTTCAAACTTTCAAAGCTCTTTCAAACCTGAGCTCCGGGCACAGCAGCGTGAGCATGGCCCTCATCACCACCTTCACGGGCGCCTCGTCGCTGGAGCCCTTGGACCCCGGGGGCGTACGCCGCCCGCTCTGGCGCTCGCGCTCCTGGCGACCGGACGGATGGCCTGGGCCTGGGGCGTGGAATCTGCGGAGGGGGCGGGGGTGCGAGGGTCAAGGTGGGTGTTTCTTTCGAGGGCAAATCGCTCCCCATGTTTGTATCTTTTCTGTTTGTGGTTTGAATGGAAAACCAAAAGGAGACCTACCATTATTTGCTTTACGTTTTTCTTTTCTTTGGCGGGGGTTCCCCCCAAAAAAGACATACCCAGATGGCTTGATGAAAAAGAGAGATGATCTGTTCTGATTTACTCATAGCTTGGGGGTCAAACTCTTCCGCCATTTTCTGGGCCAGACTGATCCGACTGCAAGTGTTGTTGCCTTGGACCAAAAAGCGAGAAAATCATCGAGGACCACCGAAAGGAATACTCGACGTCAAACACAAGCAGAACGACCACCGCCCCCCCCCCTCCCCCCCAAAAAAAGAAGAAGAAAGAAGTCCGATTCGCCAAAGACTCATTTCAAAGTATATAGGTGGTTGTCTTTTTGTTTTATTGGGTTCCATGTTAATCTGCTGACCTGCTGGGTGCTTCTTGGCTTTTGACGAACATGATTTGTACGTACCAAGCGCAAAATAAGCCCAGGCGGTATCTCCACCAGCCCAGAACCCTCCTTGAAAGCTGCTCCAAACCACCCCAGAGCCTATCTGGGCAGAGGTCGTAGCTTTCAGCTGTTCAGGAAACAGCAGCTATATCTAACCCTCCCCGCCCTCCAAAAAAACAACATGACGAGGTGAACCCAGGAGAAAAGTCTAGAAAACGTCAGTAAATGGGGTTCTGCCTTTTGCTGCTTCACTGATAGAAAGCGTCCTTAAGCCAGTTTAATCGAAACTTGCTCCAAATGTCAGAAATTCTGGTTTCCGACCGGATTTCTATGTTTCCCTCTCAAAAAGACAAGTCCCTTTGACGAATTCCGCTAAAAACAGGGAAATAGAACTACGGCCAATGTTGACCTCAAATAAATGATTTCAGGGGGCCAAGGGCAGATTCTTGACTTTCAGGGGTAAAGCCAACAGGGGAAAATAACACACATTCATTTCAGCCAATGGAAGTCAAAACTGGGCTGCCCTCAGATCCCTGCTAGAAGTTTAACTTTCAGTGGGTTGAATGGCAACCACCACTAAACACCAAAAGGCTCCCCGCGTCGGACTCTCCCCGCGTCGCCAGCTCGCCTCCTTCCGCCTGGGCTGGAGGTCGGTGAGCGCCTTGATGACGTGGGTCACCACGTCCTCCCCCGCCGTCTTGGACGCCACCTGAGGAACCGAAAAAGAACCATGGGCCTGCATAGGCGAGGTCATCCAGTAGAGAGGCTAGAGTAAGGGTAAGGGTTAGTCTATTTTAGTAGGGGAACCCTCCCCCAAACAAGGTAAAAGGGCACTACTAAAAAACCTAGTTGGTGTCCTTCTAGGGCAAATAGATGGTCCTGGTAGATGATTAAACTGCCAGGTCAACCAGGACCATCGATTTTTCCACCAAAACAACCAAAAAGGACACCTATGCGGGCCTGTGTCTTCCCTCCCTTTTTTTTGGAGGGCGCCGCCGTGCAAAACTCGCTCGGGGGCGGGGAGGAGAGTTGGCCGTTTGGGGGTTGAACGTGGGAAGAAAAGAAAGGGAGAAAAAAAAAACAGACAGTGGGTCCACGGCCCAAAGTTCCCCCAAAACTTGATCCTGCTGGGAAAGTATTCAGGAATTGTTTGCAGGACAGCAGGAAAAGGTCCAACGGGCGCCGCAAAAGGTCCCAAAAAGGGATCACCGTTTGCACAACGACTGCTACTCTGCAAACTAACATGACTTCTGAAAAACAGATGTATTTTAGAGAAATCCCCTTTTGGGGGACAGCCTTTTCTATGGTAAACTTGCAGGACGTCTTCTGGTTCCGTTGGTATCACAGATTTCTCGGCCGCCTAAGGAGCCGTGTAGCCCAAGGTCCCGGACCTTGTGGAAAATTGGCCAGCCCTTGCTTTGAAAATCAAGGAGGCCCCATGGTGTGCAAATAAACCAAGCTGGCGGTGGAAACTTATTCCCCCTTGCTGTGATTCCGCTGTGTGCCAAGATCTTTTTCGATTCGTGAAACTCCATTCAAAGAGGGTCCATGTGTAATCTTCAGACACTACAAGTACAGAAGATATCATGGATGTATGTTTAGCCGCTTTCATGAAGTTGACAGGGTCGCAGGCATAGAGTTCCTTAGGGTTCCCCCAGCCTCAGATCCAGAAGCTCGCCCATTGGGTTTGGTACCGTAAGTTAGAAAGTTGTCTATTGCAACACGACAACAAGGGGTTGTTGATCCTGGGCGCTGGGGATTCGGGTACATCAATCCAGGCGCTGAAGCATTCATGATGCAGGTCGCCGGACTCAAACATGCAGCATGCGGCTGCTGAGGAAGGTGACGACGGCGAGGATGACCGACGACCGATGATGACGACAGCGATGATAATGATGGTGGTGCTGATTCTGATGCTGATGCTGATGATGGATGATGGATGATGGATGATGAATGATGAATGATGGATGATGGATGATGCATAATAAATGATGAATGATGGAGGACGGAGGATGGCGGATGGATGATGGATGATGGTGATGGTGATGGTGCTGGTGCTGGTGCTGGTGATGGTGATGGTGATGGTGATGGTGCTGCTGCTGCTGCTGCTGCTGCTGCTGCTGCTGCTGCTGCTGCTGCTGCTGGTGGTGGTGGTGGTGGTGGTGGTGGTGGTGGCAAGAGGAGGAGGAGGAGGAGAAAGAAGGGAGGAGGAAGGTGAAGCTTGACATAAAAGTAAATGCAAAGAGGACGATCAACTTGTTGTGCATAGGGCATGCACTCAATGCAGCTCAGCCACTATCAGCGTCTTGTGCGCTTGCCTTCGGTACAGCTCCTCTGGCAAAGTTCAGACTTGCAGAGTGAAGTTGCCAGCTTGCAGTTGCAAGCTCCCCAAAGAAATAGTGAATACACAATAAACTGAAAGTAGAAAATAGAATGACTAAATAACCAAAATATAATAGTAAACACATGTAATAGAAAACTAGAATATGCATGACATAAGTGTACATAGGAAAACACTAAATGAACGAAATAATTGATTGAACAGTAAGTAAACAACTCGAATATGTGTATGTATGACTAAGCACAAGTAAACAATTAGATATCTGGCACCTTTTTGTCTATCTGCAAACACCCACGAAATCAGAAGGCGGCCCGAGATTTTGCGACAGTCCCACAGCCAAAAGACCTGGAACAAACTACCGATGCATAGTCCCCCCTCCTGCCTTAAGGGGGAGGGGAGGGCGGGGTGGAGGATTGCCCAATTCCATTTTTCCAGCCCCCACAAAAGGGAAAGTGGAACCATAAATGGAACTCCAGGCATCCTCCCCAAATCATTTCTTGGGGGTGGTGGGGCGATGCGTAAACGTGAGACCAAACAGGAAAAAGGACATGCGCTCGCTTAGTGACAAAGCCCTCCTGAACGAAAGGGCATTTTGCCGAGAGGACGGGCAAACAAACCCAGGGAGTACCAAAAGTACGGTTACTAACTATGTCTCCTTTGAAAGGTTCTCAACATGGATGGAATCAATGGGCAAAAGTCTCAGACCCGTGTTGAAACAAAGGCCCCAGCACGAAAAAAAGCCCACCCAAAAACCGCAGCCCCCCCCCCCCCAGCCCCTGACCCAGCCCCGGACCCAACCCCTGACACCTGCTCACCCCAAGTCCCCCGCCCGTCCTGGTGGTGGCTCAGCACCTTCACCGCCTCCTCGATGCCGCTGGCCGCGTGGATGCCCAGCTGCTCGAAGGCACAGACCGCGGCCACCACCACGTTCACCTCAACCGCTCGCCCGTCGAGCGGCTCGACGGCGGGATTTCCGTGGATTTGCGGGGTGAGGGGCGTCCGTTTGCTTAAAAAAAAGCCCCCTGCAAACCATGAGAACCTGTTTCCAGGGATGGAATCCGTTTAGAACCAACAGGGGCAAGATTAAACATATTCATTTCAGCAAATGGAAGGTGTCCTCATTTACCGCATGTCCCATGGTTTTGTGATTCTGTTTTCAGGCTGCTTCAAAGCGAAGCCAAGGGAATACCACAATTTAGTTGCACTGCAGGACTGGGCCGAAATGCGGTCGATGGCTTCAACATCCGCGTGAATTGCAGAGGTTAGAATAGATGAAGCCCTCTAAATGCCGGTTGGCAAACCACACACCAACTGGCGCTGGTGCTTTTTCATCCACAGCTTTGCAAGTAAGGAAACAAGAACCACCGTCATTGGTGTTGTGTTTTGTCCCATGGTTTCTGTGGCTGAGTGTGCTTGATGTACTTGCAATGTTTAGTGTCCACCGCCTGGGGAACTTCAAAGCATCGCTCATGATGATCTGGAGCTTTGGCAGGGTGTTGAGGGGGATGGGATTTGCCTTTTGGTCTTGTCTTGCCTCTAAAACCAAGCGAAAGGGGGGCGGGGTTCTCCCAAGAAGAACAGGTTCGGGGTGTGTCTCAAACCTAACAGCAGTAATTAGTAGCAGGGGTGTCTCCAAGGAGACTTACGGGGCCCCTTAAAGGGGATGGGATTTTCACTCCCCCAAAGCACACGCCCAAGTACCGCTTTGCCATCATTGTCACTGCCACTGTGGGGGTGTGAAAAAAAAAGTTCAGTGTGCTCCAGGAACAGTCCAACTCAAACTTCCCCACAAGTCTGCACCAACCCAAAAAAATACCAAACTCCGAAGAAAGAAGCAAGCGAAACACACGTCCTCACCGACCCCAACCAAAAGACGCTTCGCACAACCTTCGAAACCCGCGCCAGAAGAAAGCAAAAAGCAACAAATAAGAAGAATAAAAAAAAACAGCCGTCCCAAGACGAACAAACACGCGCGCCGCGTCTCTCGCGGGAGCGACTCGAGAGCGAAGCTGTGCGAAGCCGTTGCCTCGGTGTCCGCCAGCAGCTGCCCCAGCTTCTTCCCGTAGGGCGCGGCCGCGGGGCCCATCTGACTCAAGGTGGTGACCGCGAGCTCCCGGATCTGCCTCGCGCATGTTGCTCTGGGGGAGTCGAGGGGGGTCGAGGGGGGGGTTGAGGGAAGTGCACTGACAAACCCACCGCTGGTCCAACGGAACCCTAAGAAACCCGAAGGAACCCGAAGGACTCCTCAGGAACCGAGCCCAAAACCCAGGGATGGGTGGTATTTGAAGGAATCCCAAGTGGGGTCCAAGGGGAATCCCCCTTCCCTACTCCCTAAGGAACCCAAAACACCCTAGTAGCCACCCCCCTTGTACCTACCCCTCGTAGGGATTCTTCTCAAACGCAAATACGAATTCACAAAGACACACAAATCAACAAAAAGCTTTTCCAACAAAACATCATATTAAATTAAAAAAATACATTTGCCGAAGAAGTCATGCGTGGTTCAATTCTACCTGCTACCGTCCGCCCCCAGGCGTACACCCGGGCATTTGTGTACTTTATGGAATCTACGGGGGTCGGATGGGTTCCATTTCTTGTGACTACAGGTAGACTTAAACTCGGGGTGTTCCCTTGGGTCAATTAATGCCAGTTGTAAAAAAATGGACCCTTTGGAGTTTTACGGAAAACTTCAAAAACAAATCCGAACCAAGAATGTCCTTTCCCGGAAAATCAACTCACGTGGAAACCCCGCAACCCCAAGCCACTATTTGCTGACAAGCTAGCAGGGAACGCGTTTGTTTGCCCCACTGAACCATACTGACGGTTGATCGGAA